TTGGGAAATTTCCATCTCATCAGGAATTTTCATCAAGAAGTTGTTGTCTTCATCAGAAATAGAATGGGCAATGTCAGGAAGATTGAAATCGGAAAGATTCGAATTCGAAGAAAAGAAGAGGGCCTGAAAGTGATTTACAAGGATTTCTTCAATTTCTCTCTTTGTAGATGTCCAAGACCCATAAGCTTTTTGAAGGCAGTGAATTCCATTTCTCCTTTTTAGTTGGAAGCCAATATATGAAAGAATCTTGTACAACGACCCCCATTAAGGACACATCTATAGTCAAGGTGGTGGGGATGCTACTGAGTATTAGTGGCCCAATAATTCTAACATTTTGCAAAGGCTTGGTGATAAACCTTTATAGTCAAAAAGGTGGAGCTGACTGATACGTTGGACACATCTAGAACATTTGGCAAGATCACCCAATGTACCTAAAATACCTTTTCACTAAAATGCAATATTCCCTCTCTATATTTTCATTGCTTGTATTTTGTAAATGAAGATGAATGAGAGTTCTCATGCCAAAACTCTAACACAACTCTAATGTGTTTGTGGAAATGGGGCTAGGCATGGAAGCTCAATTGGAACATTAGGATCCTTATGGTGTCACTATAGTTTACTCAATACAGTGTTTAAAAAACTGGACTGGATCATCTGGTTGAATTGTAATCCAAGATCCTAATCGGGTCAATCACACCCCAATAACCAGACTTGCTCAAAACCTAGTGATAACTAGCTGACCGGTTGGTTTAATCGAAAATCAATGAACCAGTCCCAATTTCATAAAACTGCACGGGTCCTTATATAAGTGAAAATTTAAAATGTAGTTAACACGATTTGAACCCAAGACAGGACCCTAATCGAGTCAATCACACCCCAATAACCGGACTTGTTCAAAACCTGGTGATAACCAGTTGATCGATTGGTTTAATAGAAAAACCGGTGAGTCAGTCCTGGTTTCATAAAACTGCCTAGGTCCATACATAAGTGAAATTTTAAAGTGTAGTTAACAAGACTTGAACCCAAGACCTCTTATTTTCACATATTACGTAATTGGGAAAATCTAGGATGCAGAAAAGATATGGTATGGAAAGAGTTTTGACCAATCAAAACCCACCCATGAATTTTGATAAATAACACCTTATTTGCTATAACGTTTATAATTCCAGTTTATTAGTCAGTTGTTTTTCAGATATCATATATTTTCCATATCATAGCGAACCCTGCTTAATTACCACATATCCACCTCTTTAATTATGTTAATAAATGACTTTATTGTACATATTACATTATTATGCACACATTTTAAAGAAAACGTAAATTACAAGGTTTGAGTCCTAATCATTTGTTTTAAACATTAAAAATCTCACCATCCATCCACCATATTTAAGTATATTAAAAATTGTAAAATATATTATATACAATATTTATATGACCCATAGTATATATGTATATGTCACATCATCACGATTCGACCCTAGTTGAACCTCTGACTTCTCTGGTTCTATGCCTAGTCTGGTTCTCTTAACATTATAATGCGAATGTATTATGTTAAGTTTAGGACTAAAATGAAACCTCTGCACTGATAATTGATGTTGTAAGTGATTTTGCTTTAAGGTGGTGGTGACCTAGATTAAGTGGGGAGTGATGGTAAGGGGCCGACTTTTGTATCAATGTTTTTTCCTTCATCCATTGATGCCGGAGTTGGTGGCCTTATGGGTTCCAATCTTGCTTTCCTAGTTTTAATACAAATGTCATTTGATTTTTAATTGTTTTTATACAATAAAGCACAACGTTTCATATAATGTATTAAGAATTGAATAGTGAATATCTATTTCTATTTGCAGTCATGGTGGGACTTGTTCCAAACATGAGCTGTTAGATATGAATCATGTGTAGTCATGAAGTTTTTTTTTTTTTTTGAATTTTATATGAATGGGTCATAATTTTTCTATTCATAATTGTTCATTTGCTTTATGTTTTGGAATATGGGGAGTTTTTTGGTAATTGTGTATGTGTATGTGGAAAAGCATTTTTTTGGAGTTAAATGGGAGAGATGACTGGGCATGTGTGACTTTTACTATTACAATATCAATTAAAGATTCTTTATGAAAATACAAATTTGTTCTTAATAGAGCTTAGGATTAAGGGGTAATTTTTGTCCAATAAAATTCCAAAAAGTAAGACCCATTCACACTTTTATATATAGTATAGATTCGACCCTAGTCTAGGGCTCATAATTTTAAAATATTTCAGAGTTACAAATCAGCCTAAATGTCTATATTTGCTCTATTATTCAAGATTTAAAATATCGATATACCCCACTACACCAAAAGGGGTGTATCGAGACTTTGACCCTTGCACTTTTTCATATTTTTAGGGTTCATTTCGTTCATAGTCAAAATCAAAATTGGAATCCCTTGTAATTAGAATCAAAATGGTTTATTTCCATAGCTTGTTTGGTTCAAATGGGAAATCGAATCAAAATTGGAATCAGATGGAATGGGATCTCATTCCCATGGGAGGGGGAGGGAATGACCATTCCCTTAAATGGAGGAATGTCATTCCACCGGGAATGGGAGTAGGATTGTAATTCTGCCCAACAAAACAGTTGGAATCAAAATGAGCCATTTTATTCTAATTCCAAACCCTTATTCCTACAAACCAAATGGGCCCTTAGATTTTTTTTTCCTAAAATTTGAGTTTTGGCATATTTTTTATGTTTTAATTATTAAAAAAAAGTTTCTTCAAAATACTTTTAAATAGATGTATTGCCACCTAAAAGATATGATACCGAATTCTGAACCTTGCTAACTAGCCATCTTTCCCTTAAGGGAGGATTGACCTACCAGCTTACTCCACCTAAGGGCGTCAATGGACCGCTTTTGGACTTGACCCCATCCAGTCCAAAATCAATTTGGGCATATTGGATGGACCTGGTTCATCCATAATAAATTTATATTGGATACGATTGGATTAAGCCAATATCTAGTCCATTGATATAAAATAAAAATATAGGTGTCAATGGACTGGCTTTGGAATGAAACCAATCTAAATTGAAATGAATTTGAACATATTGGACGATTCAGATATTGAATTGGACCGGTCCAAAATAGTCCAAAATATTCATTGGATTGGATTGGACCTAGTCCATTTGTAATGGACTCACATTGGACTGGATCGGATTGGACCAAATCCAGTCCAATTAACACCCCTAACTCCATCCCAAGACCTTTTGCAATTAACAACACTGCTTGATGAAAATTGATTCATTGTGAGAATATGAAGTGTTATAATAAATCTAATGTAGCATATTGAACTCTAACCAAATTCCTTATCAACCCTGCCCACAAAAATCCTCAAATATGTTTTAAGATAAAATTAATGTAAGAGCAAATGCTATGCATGTGTATAAGTATTAACCATATATGATATATGGTTTTTGATTTAATTTTTATGACCTGCATAGAATTCAAGGCAAATATCCACATTATATAGTATAGATGTATCTTTAGTAAATTAATAATTTAAAAATATTTCACAAGCACAAAAGTGGGTCTACATAATTGAGAATTAGTTGGGAGTCTTTCCCACTATTACTTGACCGGGAGAAGTGAAATAGCAACCTGTGATCTAAATTCTCAAGTTTTTTTATGGTTCATCATTGTACCCAACAAACAACCCAATTGAACCACCCAAACCAACTCTAATAAGTTTTTTTTTTTGAAAAACCTCTTATAAGGTTGGTTTTTAGAACATTGATTTATAACATTGAAGTGAAAGACTGGAGTACCAATCAAATAAAGAGTTGAAAAGAATAGCACCAATGAGCAAGATAGCAAAAGGTCATAAAACATCAAAGTTTAATACATATTCAAATAGTGTTTTTTTGTTATGGCTCCACTTGGAAGGAGTACAAATACAAATTTGTAGAATGCAAAACCTTGTATTTTGTATGTATTTGTACTCCTTCCAAACTGAGCCTATGGGATGAGCAAAACTAGACTCGAGAATTCAGAATTAAGGATGATTTGTTCGGTTTACTGTATTAGGCATCCAAATTGTTGAACTCGCCTTCCTATCTATAATCTACTGGGGTTTTAAATGGATTGAGATTGAAAATTGATTTGCTTTTTTATCCAAATTCAAATTGAATCATTTCCATCATATTTAATTCAAATATCGAATACTATCAATATATTCAACAAAAAAAAATCAATATGCTATATATTATTAATAAAAATAAGTTTTTTTGTTATGGTACTTTTGGAAAAATAAAAACTAGAAAACCTTCAAAAATATGCACCCCCCGGTTACATCCTATCTGGTAGAGTACCTTAGTTCATACAAGAGAATGGATATAGATCAAACAACGAATAAAAAATGGATACATGGATTAAGTGGAAGGGTGTGAGTAGGGTTTTCTTGGTGGCAAATTTAAATTTGGACTCCACAAATTAGCCAAGGCACAAGAATGTGTGGATCAGCCATATGTAGATCAATATATACTTTATAGGATATGTAACATCATGTATACAAAAGAGGGAAAATCTATGATGCAGAAAAAATATGATATGAGAAGAGTTTTGACCAATCGAAACCCACTTATAAATTTTGATAAATAACACCTGATTGCTATCACGTTTATGATTCTAGTTAACTGATCAAAAGTTTTTCAGATATCATATCTTTTCCATATCATAATCGAACCAAAAAAAATTTCCATTGAAGTTTGGACAAACATGGGACTCCTTGTCAGACCTAGTTGAGTTTGAATTGGGCCTTGAAAGAAGCCTAATAGAAAGATGTATTTAGTGGTCTTAAAAGAATTGGGCCGGGAATGCATTTATAAAGAGGCAAGTCAGTTTAGGTCCACATCCATTACTCTAGCGCTACGATTTTTTTTTTTGAATACTCTAGCGCTACGATTGTACTCTCGACTTTGGTTACGAAACACTCCCTCGAAATTAGTCCACCGTACATCTGTAGCGGTAGGATAAGTGTATGGAGAGAGAGAGAGAGCGCGCGCGCGCCCGAAGAGAGAGAATCGGAGATCGAGATCCCATTACGAAAGTACGGTAAGAAACCCTAGCTTTCTTCCAAACCCCTCTGTGCTTTCCCTCCCATTTCTGGGGTTCTCTGCGAAAACCCTAATTCCTTGCGAAACTAGGTTTTTCGCCATTCACGATCTATCGCCTCGGAGGTCAAATCCTCCGCATGCGCTCTCTAGGGTTTCGGACTGTAAAGCCCTAGTCTGAAACAACCTTCGTCGTCGTGAAAACAAATTAGGGTTTTGTTTTTTATCAGATCGGACTTGGTGTTTTTTGATTTACATGTATGGCTTTGGTCGGGGGAGGTGGTGATGGTTCACGAGAGAAGCACAGATGGGCAGAGAGCAAGGTCTACACCAGAAAAGCGCACAACAAGGGCTCCAAAAATGTTCCTCAACAACCCTCGTCTCAAACGCTAGCACCTGAAGATGGAAACTCGTCCCAGCAGCAGCTTTTGACTCGTTTTGATGCGGCGTCGGATGATTCCTCCAGTCTCAACCGGCGGCAAGTCGCCGTTCCAAACAGCCGTGACCCTCCGGCCGGGAACGGCTCGGTTAGGCCGGCTTTTCCCAGGTTGGAGAACCGGATAACCATAAATCTATCGTCGAGGTCAAAGCAGGAGATGCGTGAGCTCCGGCGGAAGCTCGTGAATGAGCTTGATCAGGTTAGGAGCCTAGTGAAGAAGCTTGAGGCAAAGGAGCTGCAGCTTACTGGGTTCTCTGGTGGGGGTTATAGTCACTCGCAGCTGTCGGCCAACGATGCCATAGATAACGGCGGTGCAAAGAGAGTACACTCTGAGGTGGCTTCTGTGGGGCCTCACGAGTCCAGGCCGTTGCATCAGCTCAGTATCTCGGTGGTTGAGAACAGCCAAGGGGTAAGCGACGTTGTTGAGAAAGAGAAGAGGACGCCTAAGGCTAACCAGTACTACCGCAATTCGGACTTTGTTCTTGGAAAAGAGAAGTTCCCCCCTCCTGACAGCAACAAGAAGTCGAAATCTAATAGCAGTAAGAAACATGGTGTAGTAGGAGATGGAGAATATGGCTTTGTGATGGACAAGCATACGGCTCAGGCATTCAAGAGTTGCAGCAATCTGCTTGCGAAATTGATGAAGCACAAACATGGTTGGGTATTTAATACCCCTGTGGACGTGAAGGGGCTTGGACTGCATGACTATTACAGCATTATTAAGCATCCAATGGACCTGGGAACCGTGAAGTCAAGGCTGAACAAGAATTGGTACAAATCTCCTAGGGAATTCGCAGAAGATGTTAGACTTACCTTCCGTAATGCCATGACTTATAACCCGAAAGGGCAAGATGTTCACATTATGGCGGAACAGTTGGCCAAGATATTTGAAGAGAAATGGGCGGTTTTACAGGCCGAACATAATCTTGATTCGAGGTATGAGATGGACCATGATATGGGTCTACCTACCCCTACATCAAGGAAGGTTCCTCCTTCCCTCCCTCCACCACTTACAGATATGAGGCGAACACTGGATAGATCAGAATCTACTACACACCCCATTGATCCCAAGATGAAGCCGGCTGCCTTCACCCCAACTGGTAGAACTCCTGCACCGAAGAAGCCAAAGGCAAAGGATCCCTTTAAAAGGGACATGACATATGAGGAGAAACAGCGACTCAGCACCAATCTTCAGAGTTTGCCTTCAGAAAAGTTGGACAATATAGTTCAGATTATTAAGAAGAGGAATTCATCGCTCTGCCAGCATGACGATGAGATTGAAGTGGACATTGATAGCGTTGATGCAGAGACTCTATGGGAACTTGATAGGTTTGTGACCAACTACAAAAAGAGTTTGAGCAAGAATAAACGGAAGGCTGAGATTGCTGCTGAGCTTGCCATGCAGGCAAGGCAAGAAGCTGAGCAGAATGCAGCAGAAGTGGTTTGTTCCTTTCATATTTCTTCCCATTATTGAATATTCACTTCTCCATAATAAAAGGAGTTGTTGGCTGATACATGATTTATTTTACTATTTACAGAATGCAGCCCCAGCTATGGTGGAACCCTCAAAAGAAACTAAAGCAGGTAAAGTTTTGGAAACTTGCAAACGAGTTCCAGTTCTGTTTGTTTTTCTTTCTTTGTAAGTTGGCACATGATATCTTTCTCAATTACACTTCCAAATCTATTGTGCTCCCAACAGATGAAAAGATCATCTCCTCGGCCTCTCCTGTTCAAGCAGAAAAGCAAGGGGATAATGCTAGTAGATCAAGTAGTTCAAGCAGTTCTAGTAGTGACTCTGGATCCTCATCAAGTGGTAGGATTATTTCCAGTTAGTTGGTAGCTAAAAATGCCAATGTTAAATGCCCTACATATTTGGTTTACAAGTAATAAAGCAAATTTTAGGTTGTCTTATTGAAAGTTAAGTCATTTATTTATTTCAAACTGTATTGGACAGATTCTGATAGTGAAAGTTCATCTGCCTTTGGATCTGATGCGGGGCATTCACCGAGGACTTGAATGGATTCATTTCAGGTAGAATTTTAGTAATTTAATTGGATTATTGTTTTATCTTATGACTGCTGCTCTATTGAGTTAATTGTGATTTCATTTCCTTTCTCTCCCCATATGCTGATGTTTAATTTTGTATATTAACTCTCGTTTGCATCAATGTTTTTAAAACAAAGCCATCCACCGAAGTTGGCGGTTAACTGTTAACTTTTTTAAGTGTGTGGTTTGGATGGATCAACTATAAAGTAACTAAAAAGGAAAGAATAAGAAACATGGATGGATTACCAGATCATTCTTTTATATTATCATTGGTCTACCAGCTCATTTACCATGCAACAATCTAATTTATAATAAAAATTCAGTCACAATCTATAAAACATATTTTGCTATGGTATTGTAAATTTCCATTTATCTATTTTTTGGGGATTACTATTTCCATTTATCTTCCCTATTCTAAACCAAGGTTTTAAAACCATCATTGATCAACAGTCAAACCGTTCAGACCGGAAACCAGACAAGTCACTGGTTCCATTTTGCCCTGAACTGTTATTTTCTAAAAAATGTTGAGAAGTAAAAAGTTGCTGACCTTGATGGTTGAACCGTTTGACCTGGGCAGCAGTTTGCGGGTTTTGGCTTAATATAAAAGAAAATAAAAAAGAGAATGGAAGACACTGTTGATCTTCCTCTTCCTCCCATTGTATTCGAACCAGCGGCAGTGTCATCTCTCTCTGTCTCTCTCTCCCCCCTCCTCCTTCCTCTCCTTTTTCTTTCTCTCTCCTTCCACCCTTCTCAGCCAGTGTTTATCATCTTCCCTTGCCTTCTGCTGAAAACAATGACTATTACCAGGAACAGGAAACTTCTGCAACAATGACGACCAGCAAATGAACAACGATGATGCAACCATGGTGGACCACTGTTGCCACTGCATCTCCGTCATCTTCCACTCTCTTCTATAAATATAACCAATTTATATCTCTTCCTAACCTGACCTAATATGCTAATTCAATGGTCAAGATGCAACAAACACACTTATAAAAAAAGATGCAATAAAACCTAAAATTAACCTAAACTATTTTGACCTGCTTGACCTAGATGGTTGAACTTGAACCTCTTACCCGGAAACCAGTGGCCAAAGGCCCAAAGCGGCAAGAGTGAGGTAGGATTTGTTGCTTACATATCGTACAGGAGATTAGATCACTAACTTCCAATCAGAACACTCACGTGGATGGATTAGAAGATCTGATGGGCTGGCAAGTGGCAAGAGTGAGGTGAATAGAGCAGACTTGTACACTGGGCCTACCATTGAGGGATTCAGGGGCAGGAAAGGACTGTAATCCTTGTACTATACATATTTTATTAAAAAATTACTCGAATAAGTACATGATGAAAAAGAAGAATTCAGTTAGAGCATCAGATTTAGGTAATTCTATGAAACCACTTCACCTATTTCCCTTATCTCCCCTAGCATAATTAGTAAGTGAGCCATGATTAGGAAGTTCTTTGTTTGTTTAAGGAACCACAGGATTTTTAACCCATTCAGCAATTTAAAACCTTGCTATAGAAATTTTAGTTTTAAGACCTGATGCAAAGACAACTATGACAGTTATCTAATGACTAAACCTTCTAGTGTTGGATTGGTTGGTAAGTTATTTGGGGAGATTGATCCAAAAAAAAAAAATCAGTTGTTTGGGGAGTGTTTGTTGGGTGGTGTAAGTGGTAGCCTTTTGTTCTTCTCGTCTTGTCTTATTACCAATCTTGTGTTCTCTTTTTTGTTTTAATATTTTACCATACAAATAGGTTATCTAAAGGCTAAAGCAGGCCTGTAAATAAGAGGGTTTGATCATTGTTTTTTGGGTTCTCTACCTGTTCTGCACTCAGTGGTTCAAAGGCTTGATATAAAAAGTAGAGCTCTAAGACATGTTGCAACAGAAGAAACCTCTCTCTTTCTCTTTCTCTCTCTCTTTGCACAGGCACAAAGGAGGTTTCGATTTGGTTGTTGTTTGTGCCATGTGGAAGAATAAATAAGTAATCTTCCAGGTGACATGTGGCAATTCAGTTTAGGGAAAGTCCATGCTATTTTTCCAACATAAGACCCCTAAATGTTTCCTTTTAGAGTCAAAAGTTGATAATATCCTTGCAAATGAAGAAACAGGGAATTTGATCAGTTAGTACAATCATTAAACTATTTGGCGGTTTCACAGGACAATCCAATAGAGTTGCTGACTATTCTATTTTCGTAAGGGAGGGTGGATGCCAGTTTTGGGATTTTCATAGAGGAGATTGGTTGAAAGAATAACTCAATAGTTCTCAACATTGGTTTATATTAAAAGCTGTCCTTTATACATTATAAGGTATTTTACATGACATCCAAATCCTAATACTTTATGTTAAATGTTGTTACAAGGTATTTTACATGACATCAATATCATTTACTTTATGTTAAATGTTATTGAATTCTGTTCATACAGTGGTGCAAGGAGTGCTAATTGATGGTGTAACTTCTGGTTCACTTCTGTATTGGGTTTTGCTTTGTTGTTTTACTCAACAAAAAATTGGAAGTGATTAAGATGGGCTTAAAGCTGTAAATTTTGCATTAGTTTTTGAGATACAAAATGTGAAGTACATTTTTCATCAGTTTTGGGATGCAAAATGTGTAAAACGAGACAAGAATGCATTTTTTTTGGTATCATGTGCAAATCATGATGTCCGCAAACACCTGTAAATCTGAAAAGGATGTTATTTTTGCACCCAGTTTGGATTTGCTCTGCAATCAAATAAAGCTTATTGATTTCCTCATATACATAAAAATATTACTTGTATAATGCTTGGTCATTTCTTAGTCTGCTTATCTTTTTGAATGTAATGGATTGCATATGTAGTATGATGCAAGTTGTTGGGTTGCCTATCCTGTGAATCACATTAAGGATATTATGCTTAATTTCTTAGACTCATTTGCATTTGTTTATTAGGCTGTGTTTGGTTCTGATGCAAACGCAAATATGTACTCTGCATAAATACTCTCTTTCCGGTTCATGAATGCAAAGTATAGCCCGTTTTTTGTACTCTTCCTGTTTGTTTGAAATCGGTGCAAAACATGGCCCCATCATTAAATGCCTTATATTTTTGGTCAAACACACCATTTATAAGAAGAGCAAGTTTGTATCCAAAAAATGGGTACAGTAATGTTCTCTTCTCATGATACAAAGATGTCAGATAAAAAATTTTTGATATCTTAATCATTACTTTTTTATATGGCAACCAAATGCTCGCAAACGTGAACCGGAGTACATTAATACATTGGTTCGGCGTTTGTATCGCAAACACAGCCTTAATTTCAGTCATGTTCTAGTTATAGAAGTTAATCAGTTGTTATGGAAAGGAAGACTTATTTATAAAGAAATTTATTGGTTATCATGGTTTTTATGGTTTTCTTATCAATAACATGTTTTTTGTTTGTTGGTTAGTCACTGGTTTTGAAAAGGCTCTGTTAGCTTTGGTTGCTGCATTTCTTTGGGGAGATACTTTTACCATGTGGAGACATTCTGGTTTGCAAAGAACCCAATTTGGTTGCTGCATTTTTTCCTATATTCTTTTGTGTTGTTAAAGTGTTTGGTGTTTAACAAACATGAGATAACAATCTTAATCACATGCCCCTTCTGAAAACAAGTGTAAAGTGGTATCCTCTTTCTGACCTCTTGGCCCAGAAGAGTTTGAACAAATCCACGGACCACCCGTCTCCAAGCATTTCAGGTAGACTTCACTGGTAGAGACCATTTAGGAAGAACATAAAAAAAAAAGAAACAAACTTTGATTGGATAGACATCAGAGTTTGCATTAATCGGTATCTACATTTGCTTTCATAGAAGTACTTGGTTTGTAAGATTCGCATGTCGAATCATGGTATTTGGACAGTAATTTCTAAATTTTTTAGGAATAGGATTGAATTGTAGGATTTGAGTTAAAACCTTTGGTTTCACAGTTTGAGTTGTGAACCTGTGGCTGGAACCTTGGATTCTGGCCTCATCTGGTAGTTAAGAATATTTATCATCAATAAGGTAGTAGTAACATTCTGTTAAAGATGAATATCCTAAATAAAGTTCTGTTTTAGATGAATAGGGTCTAAAAGTAGGATGTCCTATCTGTAATTTAAATATTGACAATTAAATTATTCTAACCCATTTACCATTTCCAGTAAAACCCTTATTTTCTCATTTTGTGATATGTAGCTGTTGATGCTCAAGATTTTTTGCAAATAAACCATTTTGTTTATTTTGCCGTATGGTACAAGTAGACAGATAAATTTGCAGAACAGTATCACAGATCTTGTGCACTCAACTTGGTTTCTTTTAGATGACTTATCAAAACTTGGTTGTGAAAGGAAAACTTTGAGTCTTGAGGTTTCTTTCATCTCCTGACCACAAAGAAGATTATGGCACATGTTCTTGAAGGAACATGTTTAGTTGTGGTTACTGTAAAATTAAAATTCTCCTTTTTATTTTGATTTTTTGCCTAATTGCTTATCGAGTTATTTTTCATATGGCAGATACTTGGAGATGGGAGATGTAAGATTTAAGATAAAGAATTGGTTAGTTCTGATGATTGTTGGAATGTGACTGTCTGCTGGTTGTATATGAATCAGGCAGTTTTCAAGACCTTTCGTGGTTCTACAAAAAGGAGTGTTTTTGTCAGTTACTGAATTCATAGAAAGGCGATGATTTTTATGTGGGTTTTATTCTTCCTATCAGATGGACCCTGTTGGTCTTAAATCACAGGTTTCCCCATCAAAATTTGTATGATATGGTGGTGATTAGAGACCGTGTAGTAGTCACTGTAAATTTCTAACCAATGTTATTGCTCGTCTGGATGTTACTTGTTAGAAGTTTGTAATAGTTTATATTTGCTGGTTTACTGTAAAATTGGTTTTGTCTAATTGCGAATGGAGGAGTCCACCAACCACGGTCACTTGGAAGAGGCTGAAGAGTCTCAAAGAAGCAACAGTCGGGGAGGCCAAGGTTGCATTGCATAATCTTAAGTGCAGGATTAGTGTTGAATTGTAATCGTAATTTTTTATTATTAAGTCGTCATTGCTTCCAAATATTTTGCAGCATGCCGGCGTGGATGTGTATTGTTTATTCATACACAGATATAAGGAGTTGGGAGCTTGGGTGCCACGGTGGCCGATGCAGCAGCTTCATCTAGTAATGACGTCTGAGCTTGATTTTCTCTTGCAGCAGCTGTAGATTACATTCATGCGTATTTCTTTTCACTGGTTTTCACTCTATAGATCCAACTGTAATTCATATAAAGGGCCTGTTGCTTGTTGCGGTTGCATACAAGGTTATTTGCTGCATAGGTGGGGCATTCAGATGTGGTCAATCCAAGAGATCAATTCATTTGGGTGGTGTTTGATACTGTGGTAAATGTCTATTTTGTTTGGTTTCGGAGTGCACCATGGACCATGGTAAATACTCCCATCTTTCAAGTTCCACAGTCCAGAATACACCACCTTTTTAGGTCATTCAAATAAACATTGATTTAGTATATATTTGATAATTGCAATGCTCTGAACGCTTTACCACTCTCTGGCTCTGTGCTACCCTAGAAAGCATTCTCCTTGGTGGAATGTGGAGCAATGACCTAAGAGTTAGAGTTGGCCTCGTGGTGCATAATGTACAGACTGCAAATTTACATCATTGAATGAGATAGTGAAAGCTATGTTTCTGCATCATCAGTTCTGAGCTCTTCAGAGGCGAGCCATCCGACAATGATTAGCCAACTGTCAAATGACCAATCTACAGGTTTAGGTCCTTGGGTTTCAGGCTGTTTCCATTCTTATGTTAGGAGTTTCAGCTATCATCATTGAATAACAGAATTTCCTCGGACTGTTAATCTTAAAACACATCTGGAATATTTTACCATTTAGCCTTATATATATATATATAGGTGTGATCAAATCAACCCTCACAAGATTGCCTCCCATAACGTTCCACAGCACATATATATTGGAAACATCTCCCAATGATAATATTAAAAATATTTCTAATATATTGGGAGATATTCTCAATATACGGTGGGGATGTGCTGTGGGATATTGTGGGGGCTGATTTCAAATCTGTTGGGGTTGGGATTTTTAGGCTGGCATCAGTTTCTTGAGGCATGAGGGCGCTACGGTCCACAATTATGAATTATCCTCACTGACGCTTGGCCGGCCAACCTTATGGTGAAAAGATACATTCCACATGCAGCGGATTAATAATTAATCGCTTTCCACAAGTTGCATATATTTTTACTTAAATAAGAGAGCATACGCATCATGATCCACAGTTATGGGCACATTGAATATGCATCTATAGAAATCTGCAGTCAAGTCTCTCGCATAACACGCAAATTCTACCATCACAACACACAAATGGGTTTCAAAGTAGCATATGATTTAATTTTAACTTTTGACATAATTTTATAAACTCTTTAAATTTTATAAATATTCATTTGTGTTTGGCATAATTTAGTAAACTTCTTTATTACCAAGAACAAAATTAATGTTTGTTTCTTAAATTACATATGGAAGTCTAAACCATGGTTTTCAAAACCGGACCAGACTGGACGATCGGATTGGAAAAATCGGTAACCGTTCAACCCCCGGGTCCGGTTATACTGTAAACCGTTATTTAGTAATAACTGTTGAAAAATTCGAAAAGCCATTGAATTGGATGGTCGAACAGCTAAACCGTTCAACCCAGGTAGCGGTTTGCAGGTAGGCAAAATTTATTTTCGTCCGATTTAGAAAAGAAAAATCCATTCATATCCTAGATTCTCCCTTATGAGTTAGGGTTAGAACGAAAGTTCATTTTCATTCTAACTTCTAACCCTTCCAAGTTCCAGCCTTCCTTCTCATACTCCAACGGCGTGACCGACGACCTGCGGCAGCCATGACCGACGTCGATCAAAGGTGAATTCCGTGAATCACAACGACTGGCAATTGTCATATGGATTTCCTTCCTCAAAAGGGCTTCATCTATGGTGGTGAGCAACAAGGAGCAATGGTGGATTTCCTTCTTGTCATCAACAGCAAGGAGAAACAAGAGTGGCCGACGATTTTGCAACGACAGATTTCCTTCTTCTTGTCACAACAGCAAGGAGAAACAAGAGCGGCAACGGATGGCGATTTTATATAAGTTCTCTCAAAACTGTTGCTTTTGTTTTCGAAGGAGCACATCTACTCTGCTTTGTGAGCAACGAGAATAGTGTCGCTACTCCTCCTCCCCTTTCCATCTCTCCATTTATTTTCCCTTATTCTTGTTCTCATTCTTATTCTCCCTCATACTCTTGTTTTTATTTTATTAATTTATTCATTTTATTGTTTTTTTTTAACTTTCTCCATCTTTAGAATAGAGACTATCGACTCTACTCTTTATCGCAGTGAAGAAGAAGGGAGAACAGAGAGGAAAATTCTGTATTTTTTTATTTTCTATTTGTTATATATTTTGTTATTTTTTATTTTAGATAATTTTATTTTTTGTTTTTTTTTCTGTTTTTTATTTAATTTTATACCATTTTTTATTATTTATAAATATATTTTTTATTTTAATTTATTTATGACATCACAGGTCAAACCATTTGTCCCAGACTATTGAACCGCTTAACTGGAAATCGGTCCCCTGACCGGTTCTGTTTCTAGTTCGTTTTTAAAAACCTTGGTCTAAACTCTCAATTGGATTTTTTTGGTGGGTCCGTGGGTGTGCTTTTAAAATTGGTGGTTTTTTATGTGTTCATATTTTATTTATAGTCTATAGTCATTTGTGTCTTGGATCGGTTTGTACAATATTTTCAAACCTTTCATTTGCACTGTACAGATTTGTATTTGCATTGTTACTAAAATGAGCCTTAGGCTGCATTTGTTTGTGATACAAACGCAAATATGTACTATTGTACTGTACATAAATACATTTTCTTTGATTCATGAATGCAAAATTGTTCATAATTATAAACCCATTTTCTTCTTGTTTGTTTCAAATCGATGTAAAGAGTTGTACGGTGGTCTCTCTCTCTCTCCCCAGAATAAAGCCTACTTACATTGAGATCCAAAGAATACAGGTTTGTATCCTGCACTCTCCTCATGATACGAGAATGTCAGAAAAAGTATTTCCCCCCTTTTAATCGTTTCACTTTTGTGTGGCAAACAACACTCAAAATCCAAATTGGGGTACATAAATACCCCAGTTTGACATTTGTATCACAAACAAACGTAGCCTTTGAGTTTAATATTATCAATGCATTTATGGGATATATATAATTTTCCTAATTGGATATCCGAATATGCTCAAAGTATATTGTGATTTGTATCCTAAATTAACTTATCAATATGTTTTGCAATATCCAAGCCTCTGCCCAAGTTGCATCCCTACCAGAAATTAGGTTCAAGTGGCTGCCCAAGTTGGATATCCATATACCCATACTCTTTTGGATGGAATAACTTGATTGTGGAAAGAAATAGTGTAGGTGTTAAGGGCTGTTTGATAAAGGTTCAAGTGGCTGAATTGAATGACTTATTACTTTGTTTTTGAAAGGATAAAAATATTAGTTAATTAAATATTTGAGGTATTATAATAATCAATAATCCCACTAGCTTCAACCATTAAGGAACTCACAAGTCACAACCTCTTCAATAACTTGTTCACATAAGCCTATGGCAGAAATGGATATATGCTTTCATCATCATACAAGCCTTATCCCACTCATATGGGGTTGGTCTCGGTTACATAAATCCTGTTTTGCCATTTCCATACAAGCGCTTAAATCATTTCTTACTACGTTACCAAAAAAGAAGTCACTCAAAATATTTCTTATTAATGACCCATATCCTTTTTCGTCTACCCTTCAACTTGCAAAAATCATTTCTTTTCATGGATGCCGTTAACAACCACTTCTTGGTTTGCAACTTTGCATGGCAAATTACCGGTCAATTAACATAACACTTTCAAAGAAACTTCTGAAAAATCACCACTAAGAGCAAGTGAGCAACCAGACGTGGGTTTTTTAAGGTTGGAAAGAGAGGAAGTTCTTTCCTTCATCGATTACATGTAAAGTTTATCTTGGCAATCTTGAAGAGTTCACTTTTTCTACAATTAGCATTGGGATCTGCTCCTCGCACCATTCTTACAGCCACATCCCACCTTGTATTGGAAATATCTTCCATGAATAATGTATGGAAAATGTTCTCAATGTGTGACTGATACGTGATGTGAGATCGGTGTGAAGAACACTCTGTAAGAAACAGATCAGGGCTCTATGTTAAAAGTTAAAACAGAGAATGTATTGGTGTAGCCCCACCAAATGTCACTTCATCTAGGACCATAACAGTATACATAAAAGGCTTTTCATTTTATTATTTTAGTCCAGTGCAATAACTTTATAACATTAATGTCGTAGCACAAGTGATTTGCTTGATCATGCCCACGGCCTAGAATTCTTTGTCCAAATGCCTATATAGCTCTGATTCGTTTGTAGAAATGTAGTTCTTGAATTGTGGACTTAATCAAAGTGGTTTGCTTTGGAAAATATGAGACTGATGTGGTTCAGCTTAAAAGGAACCAAACAAACGTCCATCAGTCCCATATTGAAGATTTAGGAAGGTTCAGAGATGTGGTTTGAAAAGTTTAATAATCGGTACAGAATGGACGTTTGCTTGGTTCTTTTTATCTTAATGGCTTTTCTCCCTTACTTTTTCGATACATGATCGTTGCTTTGGGTGAACGGCACCAAACATGTTGCGTCTCCTACTTTCTTTTATGTTTTTTCTGTTTCTGTCACCCCAAAACGAATAATATAAAGTAGGAAGGACTAGCCGACTAGAAAATGCATCATCAAGTAAGTTGAATAGCACAGCACGAGAACAATGAAAGACAGAAGGAAGAATAGCATGAATACTGTGGATTGCTGCGGATGCCGGCCTTTAGCCTTTCTACTGGCCCTGCCCTGTGTCATCCTGTCCCTCTTTGTATCGATCGCCGGCGTCATTGTCTGGGCCATCGGGTTCTCTCTCTCTCTTCTTTATAATTCTTGGATGGTGTTATTTTTGAGGATTAGGGTTTGAGATTTTGTCAGATTTTCGATGGGCTCAACCCAAAGCCCGAGCACAAAATAGATTAAACTGTTAACTCAGACCAACCCCATTTGCACCCCTAACTCTAACTACTCATAAATTCTTCCCACATGCCAATCTACAAGACATTACTCCCATTATGTATTAGGGATTCCTGTGAGTAAGGTTGTAAAAAAAAGTTTGTGGATAAGAGATCTAAGCTCATTTGAGAGTACTTTTTGGCCTAAAATGAACTTATGAAAAATCACTTTTTGAAATGGGCTTTCTACAAAAACACTTTTTTAGTGTTTAGCTGATCATCAACTTTTTTTTTTTTTTTTAATTTCTCCCTACTTTTTTAATTGGGATTTTTTTATGCGAAAAGCCCATTTTGAGCTTTTTGCTCATCGATTATTATTTTTTAACTGGCTTTGGGCTTTTCTAGTGATATTTCTGATTTTTATCTGTTGTTTATTTATTTGCTTGCTTGTTCATTTGTTATTGGGATAGGTCGGTAGTGGGTTTGATATGCCCATGTTGCCTATGCGTGCCGGCCCTGGTGGACTTTGCCCTAGAGCTGATCAAGGCCCCGCTTCACGTCTTGGAGTGGCTTACCTCTCATATCCCCTGCTAGACTTACACGTCAATCCAATTTCATTCTTCTCTGTGCTTCAGTTATATACTACTTGGTTTATTTTTAAGTGGGGTCTCAGTTTTCTTTCTTAAATTTTCTGTGAAACGCTGATGTGAGAATGTGTTTGTACTACATTAATTTCATTTGTTGTTTCTGGTTCATACGAGACGAAATGTCGTGTGGTTGGAGCATGAGAACAAAAGAAAGGCTCCTCCACTATTTTGTGTACTTTGTATCTGTAAAAATGTATGTGTTTAGTTATTTACTGTTGTTATTATTATATGTATGATCTTGAATTTCTGATAAGGGTGTAAATGGAGCGAACTGAATCAGCTAATATCTAAATTCAAATTCGATTAGAAAACTGATTATTTGAATTTAATCGATATCTGACAGATCATTTGTAATCCGAATTCAATTATCTGAATTAAACAAATTTAATTGATGTTTTTATCTTTGTAACCTTTACAAAACAAAGAAATAAACTGTAATATAATTTTGGATATATTAAAGATTGACATGCCCTGCATTTTGAGGGTAGTGACACTTAACCCTTCAAATTTTCATTTGTAACAAAGACCCATTTTGAAGCTTTCAGCACTTTGCCCTTGTCATGTTAATGGGCTTGACAGTAAAGGTAAAATTACTAAAACACCCATTCAAAGTTAAGAAAACATAAAAAAAATAGTCATATTAAAGCATTATATCTCTTGTTGTATTTTTAGTCTTTTTTTGTGATTTTTAATGTTTTTGTATTTTCCTCTATTACTTTGCATTTTCTTTAATTCTTTGTTTTTCTTTATTTTGATGTATTTTTATCTTTTTTTTTTCATTTTAGTTGTATTTCCTTTTTTTTTACAATTTCCTATTTTTCTTTTCTTTTTATTTTTGTTGTATTTTTTCAATTTTTTGCAAAATGATCTCAAAGGAAATTTGGGGTTGTGGAAATGTTTAAAACACACACATGAGAATCTTTAATGAAATTTAACTAAGGCTGTGTTTGGTTGCTGTGCAATTTTATTCGCACTAGTACAAATGCATGGAAATGCAAATAAAGAAAATGCAAATTCTAGTTTAATTTTGATTTGGATTTTACTTTATTCTGCTTCATGTCTTAATTTACTTTATTTATACTGCAACCAAACAAAATAAACTAAAATTTGAAACAAAGATAGGTCAGAATTTACACTCAAATTATTTGCACTGTCATATTTTTGCATTAGTACAAATTTATTTGTATTTCAACCAAACTCAGCCTAATGAAATGCTAATGTCCAGGACAAAGTGTTGGAATCTGGAAGCTCAAGGTGGGTCTTTGTCAAAAATGAATGTTCAGGGTGCTAAGTGTCACTAGCCTCAAAGTACAGAGAGTTTATAATTTGTCCTATAATTTTATTAGAGAGGAATATATAGTATTTAGGTCATTCTCATATGTGTATATTAATGATTCAGATATTGATTGGATAGAATAATCATATCCAAATTCAATCTAACAAAATAAATTGTGCAAGTTTCATATTGGAGTTCAAATAACTAATTAAACTTATTTAACATTTGAACTCAAATTGAGGCTAATGGAACTCAAGCTCAAACTATATTATTATACCCTTGATCTCAAACACAAAATTGGATTTTCGGATACCATTTAGGGGGCTCTTTTTTTGGATTTTGAAAGGGGAAGTTGGTCAATAGGATTTTGATTCTCATTGACCAAGAAATCCATATTTTTTTTTTTAAATTTATGTGAGAACTAGAGAAAATTTATTTTCCTAAGTATTACTTACTTGTGAATGGAATAACTATTTCCTAGGTGGGTAAATAACTTTTTTCACTTGGAGGAAAGTATTAACACTTGAATGGGATAAAAATGCCCCTTTTAATAATAACTTTTTCACTTAGGGGAAGTACTAATACTAAAATGACAATTACTTTATTTACCTAAAAAATAAAAGAATATAAATAAATCCATTTACATGAATAAGTGTTTCCTGGATAAATACATTTATCCATATAAGGGCCTTATAGTACTCATACTTTATGTCAAATAGTATACTTACGCTGATTCATTGATTTGCCCACCGGATTACAATCGTACACAGACAAGGGGACAAATCATGTGAGTTCATTACTTAAATTATGTGATCAGAATCAGGATTTTTATGGATAGGTGGTTCGGTGGGCTTATTGTTTGTCTCTAAACTCTTCTACCTCTAGGCCATGCATATCTTTGTCTAGAGGAAACTTCCTTTGACTACACCATTTGTTTTTATCAACGTGAATGGTGAATCATAGTATCTACAAATAAGTCTCTGTTTGGCGCATCTTCTCATGTGGTTTTTCAGTTGTTTATAAGTTGGGTAGACTGTGATATCGTCTTTTTACATTTAATTCATTACTGATCTAATTGCCAAAAGTAGGTGTACCAAAAAGAACACGAAAAATTTATTTTGGGCTGAGTTTGAGAAGTTTTAAATAGAGTTTTTTATGTCTTTCTCACTTTATTCCTACACAGGAAGACATGAAAAAACGCAAGGTAGCCAAACTAATTTCGGACTGCTCAAATCTTCGTGCGAAAGCTCAATATATCTTTTGCCACTCACTCTGTCATATCTATCAAAAAATCTTCCCAAAAAAACTTACCAAATGATGTATAGGTTAAAGGAATTTTACCCTCCATAAACCAATACTTGTATGAGAACTAAAAGGCAATGGCTATTTAATAGGCTGTGAAATAATGATAATATCTCATTCCAGCCATCCACAGTCAATTAATGCAAATTATTGTGTCATGTGGGGGATAGCCAGTTTTCTCAACTTCTTGCAGAAATGTGAGATTGAGGTATCCGTTCCATGTTTTATGTGACAGCCCAATTATATGCATTGGGTTTGAATGGACAGTCTATTCTGATTTAAAAAAAAAAGAAGTAAAAAATTAAAGAGGTTTTAATGGTTCAGTCCACTTCTAGGGTGGAGTTAGAATTTCTAGGGATGGACTGAATCTGTCCGTGAATTGATGTCAAATTTATGGATAGAATGCATTTATGGGGGTGGGTTACTAATAGACTAGAAGAAGGCTACAAATTAGATTTCTGAGGGGTATTGCAGTCCAAATCAACGGGCTGAATCATTTTATCACCTGGGCCAATGGTCACCGATCAAATCAACGGTTTTTGGCCCAAAAACAATTTTATGATAAAATAAACATAAAACCAGGATTGGATTTTTTCTTTTTGGGTACGTAGAATATGACAGCAACATTATCTAAACGTTATTGCGTGCAATTGCTTACCGTCGAAAAAAAATAGAAAAGAAAACGTGAATTTGCTTAATTCCCTGTTAAATCGGGTTTGGGGTGGGACGGGACGTACTTGGTAATTGCTGTCGGGTATTGGTCATTAAAATGTGAAGCGAAGATGGACCAATCCCATTTATGTTATATTGATATGTGGGTCATCGGGTACCCTCTATCCTTTGCCACCGTGCCACCACCCTTGATGCTTGATTAGGAGTGTTCACGGTACGGTTAACGAGCATATTTTTTTAAACCGAATTGGTCCTTTTACTTCCTTAAAATTTCAAACCGAAACCAAATCACATCAATGGGTTAATGGTTGATCAGTTCAATTTTCCGTGTGTATGTATATATTATTCATCGATTTGCTTTTTATGCTTTCTGGATTTTCATGAGCACCCTTATTGAATGCAATAGGTCAGATTAAATGACAAATCTGCCCTAATCCGACCCTTTAAGTATTAGGATCAGGTCGGCTATAATTGGATTATGATCAAATTTGGGTTGACATGAATTCATCCCATCTGACCTGTTGTTGGCATTATAATATTGAAAAATTATATTTACAAACATGATTAAGTATAGATGTACTATCTATAATACATGGAATGAGGGCGGGCTGGGTTCAGCCGTTGCCGTTCAGTGTTTCAGCATCCCATCTTTTACCCAAATAGGAGTTGTTTCGGGTTGGGTTTGTATAACCCAGACCCGTTGATGTAATCGTAATTCGTAAATAAAACGTGGTGCGGCTGCAGATAGAGTTTAAAGGGTGGTTAGAGAAGAGTCCACAGTTCCGAATGAAAAGAGGCGCCAAAATGAGCCAACCATCATTGCTTAGCGCCACATCAGATGGAGCAGCCAATGCATACAATGTATGTACGGACCACTTTTGCTACAATATGTCGTAGCGCAGTGTTTACAACCAAGAATCATAACCCTAGATTTGTTAGCGTGGCCTACCAAGACGTTTCTCTACTTTATTTGATTCAAGGTGGGCCCTATTGATACATGGAAGGTTTTGATTTCGTTGTTTTACACACACTACACTCTCGTCTCTCGTCTCGTAGCAAAAATAATGGTTGCATTAAAGAAGCAATTCCTTACCTTTCCTTTCGGAGTCGGACCTGTCCTCTTGCATGCACTGTTCAATCTTCCTACATGCCAAATGTTAAAAAAGGAAGAAAACTTTTAATACACTGAAACACATCCCACCACCACCACTCTATTCAAGACCACGTTACAGAACTCGGCCAAAATCTAAACACTACTCTCCGGCAGAGCTCCATGATCGCGTCTTCTCCATCCTAATTAAGCTTATCTTATCTTTGTTTCAAGCTTCAACAGAAAACCCGGAAGCGAAAATGGAAGCCCAGAATCATATCGGCGTTAAGGGGCATCCCACCACCACCCAACCGGCTGTTCGGGCTAGCTCCTCCAGTGGAACCCTTGGCCGCCACCTAGCTCGTCGGCTTGTCCAAATCGGCATCCGTGACGTGTTCTCTGTGCCGGGTGACTTCAACCTTACGCTGCTCGACCACCTCGTTGCTGAACCGGAGCTCAACCTCATCGGCTGCTGCAACGAGCTCAATGCTGGATACGCTGCAGATGGGTACGTCCGTGCCAAGGGGGTTGGTGCTTGCGTCGTCACCTTCACTGTTGGTGGGCTCAGCGTCCTCAACGCCATCGCCGGTGCTTACAGTGAGGACCTCCCTGTTATTTGCATCGTTGGTGGGCCCAATTCCAATGATTTTGGTACAAACCGCATTCTACACCATACGATCGGATTGCCGGACTTCAGCCAGGAATTTCGGTGCTTTCAGACGGTTACATGTCATCAGGCAAGTTACTGTTCCACCCTCATGGATTAGAGATCGAATTGCCATTATATTTAATTTCTCTGATTTGATTGTTAGAATAATACTGGATTTGGCATCGCTGATTTTATATCTCTGAAATTGAAGAAAGGGTTATGGCTATGTTTGCAACAGGCGGTGGTGAATAACTTGGAGAATGCACACGAGCAGATAGACACTGCAATTTCGACTGCTTTGAAGGAAAGTAAGCCAGTTTATATTAGCATTAGCTGCAATTTGCCAGCAATTCCTCATCCGACGTTCGCTAGGGAGCCTGTTCCTTTCTTCCTCGCACCATGGTATGGTTCCGCTCTCTGGGATTCTCCTTTTCTTTCTCAATTCAGGTTTTAGTTTTATATGAAGTTGGCATGTCTTTCGGTTTTGGAAGCTTGTGAGTTGTGAATTAATTCTGATGAGATGAACTGAAACAGGGTTAGATAAAGTGATGAAGTCCCTTCTAATGATTTTACCTCGTTTGGCGTTTAGGGGGCGTTCTTTTTTTTCGGATTTGGAGAGGGGGAAAGTTTATTTTCCTGGCTATCACTTAACCCATCAATAACTTTGCCAATACTTGAATGGGACAAAAATGCCCCTTTTAGTAATGGATTTTTATGGCTAAAATGGTCATTGCCTTATTTACATGAGAAATAAAAGAACATGAGGAAGTCCACCTACCTCCAAGGGAAAACTTACCCAAGTAACTGCATTTACCTGAGTAAGTAACTTACTGAAAAGCGAATGAGGCCTTAGTTCTATACAAATGCGTTGATGTTTTGTTCGAGAACCAAACTACGAAACTAAATTTGATCGCTTTCTCTTTAAATTGAATGGTGACTTTTCATATGGTGCAAATTTGATGGGTATTTTAATATTTTTTCCTCTAAATAACTCTAGTTACTTTGCCCTGAAATATTGTTTCTGAAGATTGCTTAGTGACACATTTTGGTTGTCTAGGGGGAAGTGATTGAAATGGGAGTGCAAGTAGGAAGTAAAATGTAGTCCCTACTTTTGTAGGAGGAATGTTATATATTTCGGAATGAGGTATGGAGCAAGATGATGTGGATGTAGTTCCCACTTTATACGAAAGAGAATTGAGGTTTTACAAAATTCATCAATTTATATGAAAAAAGAACTCTCTCTCCCTTGCCGGAAGAATCACCTAATAAATTCATCAATTAACGTGATGCCTCAATTTGTAATGAGGTCGTACAAAATTCCTAAGAGTGTGATTGATGACATCAACAAATACCAAAGACAATTCTTATGGACAAATAATAGTGAGAGGAAACCCCTCCACTTGGTTAATTGAACTCGTGTATGTACCACCAAAAAATGGGGTGGTTTGGGTCTCAAAAACATTGAATGGGTAAATGATGCTTGTCTAGCTAAGCTTGGATGGAAAATAGTTAAAGAAAATGACAACTTGTGGGTTCAAGTTGTCACAAGAAAGTACCTTAATAAAGAGAATTATTGGGAAATAAAAAGAGAAGGAAAATTCTTGGGCTTGGAAAGGAATCCTCTCAGCTAGAAATCTTCTAAGGGAAGGCATTGGACGGGAAGTAGGCAATGGAGAAAAAATACATTTTTGGGATGATGTTTGGACTGATGATACCCCAATAAGAAGTTGTGTGAATAGGGATGCCATATCTAATGAAAACTTGAAAGTGACTGAGGTGATAAATATAGAAAGAAGAGTGTGGAAAGAACAAGTAATAAGGAACTTGGTTCCACACCAAGTGTGGGAAAAGATGACAATTTTCATTCCTTCAGCTCCTAAAGAAGATAGATTAATATGGAGACCAAATACGGATGGGGAGTTCTCAATTAAAACTGCCTACTTAAAGGCAAGTACTTTAGATAGTGTTCTTCCTAGGGGATCTAGTGAGATCACAAAAGTATGGAACCTAAACACCCCCCCCCCCCCCAAATACAAGAACTTTATGCACCTCCTCCTCTGTAATAAACTTCCATAAAAAATGAACTTGCTTAATAGAGGAATGAAGATTGATGGGTCTTGTAGTATTTGTGGTGAAAGTGAGGAGGATCTGAACCACATTTTTGTCAATTGCTACCATGCAAAACAGATTTGGTTGATTACCCAAAGTACATTCAAGTCCACAAGTGAATTAATTTTCTCAGTTCAGGAGGTGTGGGAAAAGGTGAATGATAATGATCCAAATATCTGTCAAAATTCAGATACTAAGGAAAATTTTGTAATTTTACTTTGGCATATTTGGAAAAATAGAAATGAGAAAACTTTCAAAAATAAAATCTTACCTCCTGCTATCATTCTTGATAGAGCTCTCAGCTCTTTTTGGGAGATTAAATCAGCTCCTAAGGAAAAGAGTTGGATCCCGGTAAGATGGATGAGTCCATGTTTAGATGCTATTAAAATAAATTTTGATGCTTCCTGTGTAAATGGTCACTGCTCTATAGGTTGTGTTGCAAGGGATCACTTAGGAAATATTCTTGACCTTAGTTACCACTGTTAACTTAGCTGAAGCTTGGGCTGCTTGGGAGGCCCACAATATAGCAAGCAATTTCAGAAACAGGTACATCGTTATTGGAGGTGATTCAAAGCTTGTCATAGACTGCCTCAATGACAAAACCAAATTGCCGTGGAGATGAAAGCATATCATTGAAGACTGCAGGACCATAAGATACAGCTTGGAAGGAAAATTTCAGTATCAGCATGTTTTCAGAGAAGCAAATATAGCTGCAGATTGGTTAGCTAACAAAGCTCATGAAGTTTCTGTTTTGAATGGGCTGATTCCGAGACCTTTAACGTTAATTTCTTGCTTAGATTTTTGGGGACGTGCTACCCCCAGAGCTGTGTAGCCCCTCTGTTATTATCCCGTTTTATCAAAACAAAAGAGAGAGAGAGAGAGAGAGAGAGAGAGAGGTAAAAGGAAGGTGGTAAAAACTTTGCATCAGTTTTTGAGATGCAAAACTTGCACTGCAAGTGAGACAAAAACTTACAAATTTTGTATCAGATAGGGGTGCAAATCATAATTACGAACAAATGGATGAAAAACTGAACCGAGTGCAAGATTTGTATTCCATTCAGCTTTGCACTGCAAGCAAACAGACTTCTCGAAGGAAACTCGAAAATTGAAATAACTTTGTGAACATTAAAAATTGTTTTTCTCCTTGAGGCTACTTTAGTTTCATTGTGAAAGGGGCAGAAGTCTTTTCAATTTGTAAAATCTCAGTTATATTTTTGGCCCTTTTCCTGTCTCTATTCTATAATCAATATGTTAGATCAACTTAGTAATGACAATTAGGCATCACATATAGGTCCGTTCTGGTTGTGATCTTCAGAACTTTTTCCTGTGATTGTAGTGGTATATTTCTCCAATCAAGAATATGTGTGGCTATCAAGAACATGTTTCTCATTAGATTGTTGAGCTATAAAGAATATATTGTGGCTTATGAATAAGATTCATAAGCCTTTTATACTCTCAGCAAGCAGATAAAATAAGGCCATTGATTTTCACTATGATCAACCTTACTTGAATGCAGGATGAGCAATCAAATGGCGTTGGAAGCAGCAGTGGAGGCAACGGCTGATTTACTGAATAAAGCTGTGAAACCTATCATTGTGGGTGGGCCCAAGCTAAGGGTGGCCAAGGCACAAAAGGCCTTTGTGGAGCTGGTAGATGCATGTGGATATCCTTTTGCAGCTATGCCATCCGGCAAGGGACTGGTACCAGAGCACCACCCACACTTCATTGGGACATACCGAGGTGTTGTCAGCACCAGCTTCTGCAGTGAGATGGTGGAGTCTGCTGATGCCTATGTTTTTATTGGCCCCACCTTCGATGACTCCAGCTCTGTGGGGTACTCATTGCTGATCAAGAAGGAGAAAGCAATAATAATTCAGCCCAAGCGTGTGACTATTGGTAATGGACCTTCCTTTGGTTGGGTTTTCATGGCTGAATTCTTGACTGCATTGGCCAAGAAGCTGAAGAAGAACAGCGCAGCAGTGGAGAATCACCGCCAGATCTTTGTTCCTCCCACCATCCCTCTCAAGCACAATCAAGATGAACCTTTGGGAGTTAACATCATCTTCAAACACATTCAGGCAAGACACAAAGACAATCTAGATTTTTATGACTACCCAATTTTGAGTTTTATGGTCAGAAAAACGTGATGATTGGTTGACTTTTATATATCTAAGGAGCCTAACACATTAAACAGGAAATGTTGGGTGGAGACACTGCAGTTATTTCTGAGATTGGAGACTCATGGTTCAACTTTCAGAAGCTCCACCTTCCAGAAAATTGCAAGTAAGACAAAGGACTTGTTCATATAAATTTTATCTAAATGTTTTCCATTTTTTCATTCAGCAATGAAGTTTAACAGCAACTTTTGTGAAGATATGAATTCCAGATGCTGTATGCATCCATTGGTTGGTCGGTAGGTGCAACACTTGGGTATGCCCAGGCAGCTGAAGACAAGCGTGTGATTGCCTGCATTGGTGATGGAAGTTTCCAGGTTGGTCACTGTGTCCATTTTATGACATAGCTTGATCCATCCATGTTGAATCTAGATAAGATATAAGGCCCCATTTGGGAGGGCTGAGCTGAACACTTAGATAAGATGGTTCAGCTGCTTTGAGGTGCTCCAGATAAGCTATCTAAAGAGGCTGAAGTGAACAACCCAAAAAATGACTAACTGGAAGCCAATTTGCGCTATTTGGATTTTTCACCAAACACAGCTTAAAGGCTGTCCATGTAGGTCCCAACTCAGACAGCCAGAAGTCGTCACGCTTCAGCCCTCCCAAACAGGCACATATTTATATATATACATCTAACAGGTTTGGTGCCTAGTGGAACTAATCAATTCTTTGATTCTTTAGGTAACAGCTCAGGATATTTCAACAATGATCCGTTGTGGTCAAAGGAACATTATATTCCTCATCAACAATGGAGGATATACAATAGAAGTAGAGATTCATGACGGCCCCTACAATATCATCAAGAATTGGGACTACACCAGGTTTGTGGATGCAATCCATAATGGCGAAGGAAAATGTTGGACTGCCAAGGTGAGCATGAAAAGAGAAATGTTGAGATAATTGCATGCTTTATCATTAATCATTTCCCACTTAAGTAGGTTTATGGATTTGACAATTGAAATCCAGGTAAAGACAGAGGATGAACTGACAGCGGCAATTGCAACAGCTACAAGAGACAAACAAGATTCCCTGTGTTTCATTGAAATTTTTGTGCACAGGGACGATACTAGCAAGGAGCTTTTGGAGTGGGGATCCCGAGTTGGTTCTGCAAACAGCCGACCTCCCAATCCCCAGTGAGTACTGAATGCTGGTTGCCTTTTTTCCCCTTGGGGGTGGGTTGAGGAGGTAGAGATGACAGTTTGATAATGCTGAGCTTGTGAATATAATTGTAAATCACATTTCATGTGTTGGAATGAGATCAGTGTTTTAATTGTCATGCCTCTTATTTGTTGTAACCAGAGTAGTTTTGGTTTTGTTATCAAAATAACAGCTGTTGTTGTTCTTTATATAATCCATGGGCAACTCTACCATGTTTATTTATCATTGGCTATAAGATAAATAGGTGTTGGGGAATTGCAGAAATGAGTGTAAAACCAATCCCAACTTTTCCCCTAAGTTTGTTTGTGAAAATAGGTATGCCAACAATAATGATAACAAGTAAATAATTCAGGCAACTAACAGAAAAATAGATAACAGTCACCACACAATAGCACACCAGATTTTTTTATGTGGAAAACTCCAAAATCGGGGAAAAACCATGGGACCTATGGTTCATAAAAGTCTTTTATTAATTCAGAAATTAATGGGTACAATAGTCTTCTCTGGTTGCAACTAGAGGTTTACAAACATCAAGGAAATAATCTTTGGCTCATAAGAACATCATTAACAACACCAAGTGCAAGGTGAATACAAGACAAATAGAGGTTTAGATCTCACAAAGTTGTTGTAAATCTGAACTAAGAAGTAGAGAAAGGAAGAATCACCAAATCTGAACTGGAGTTGGATTCTTAACTCCAGTACTTAATATTATCAAGAATGGGCTTGAAACAACTTCAAGCTTGGCCTTGAATGAAGCAGAAAAATCAACTCTCTTTTTCTCTTCTTCACAAACTCAAAAACCCAGAAACCCCCGGTTCTATGTTTTCTTTCTCTCTCTTGCTTTTCTCAGTTCGGTGGTTACAAAACATGATGCCCAAAAACAAAAAAGGTGGGAGCCTTTTTGGCTTCCACTATACAACTCCTTTTGGGAGCAAATAAAAGTGGGTGAGCCCCTCATATGGGTTGGACCTACACTCAACGATTTTCCCCCTCCAGCTCATATGGGGGGTTTCACCAAGCCCGCAGCATCTTTGCAGAATTCAAATTTGTCTCTAGAAAAGAACTTTGTTAACATGTTTGCACCATTCTCATTAGTATGAATCTTCTCAATGTTCAACAACTTCATATCCAACACATCCCGAATCCAGTGGTATCTTACATCAATGTGTTTGGATCTTGAGTGGAAAGTTGGATTTTTAGAGAGATGGATAACACTTTGGCTGTCACAATAGAGAACATATCTTTCTTGTTTCATTCTCAATTCTTGTAAGAACTTTTTCAACCATAGGATTTCCTTACAAGCTTCTATAGGTGCAATGTATTCAGCCTCTGTAATGGACAATGCAACACACTTTTGAAGTTTGGATTACCATGAAATTGCTCCCCCTGCAAAAGTCATTAAGTATCCCGAAGTGGACTTTTGGCAATCAACATCACCGGCCATGTCTGCATCTGTATACCCATCCAACATGACTTTAGCATTCCTGAAGCATAAGCATATCTGAATACATCTGAGATACCTGAATATCCATTTTACTACTGTCTAATGTTCTTTGCCAGCATTAGAGAGAAACCAACTAACTATACCAACAGCATGAGCAATATCTGGCCTCGTGCACACCATAGCATACGTTAAACTGACAACTGTTGAAGCATAAGACACTTTCTTCATTTCTGCTTTGTCTTTCTCACTTGTAGGACATTGTTTAGTGTTGAGCTTGAAATGACCTATAAGTGAAGTAGCCACTGGTTTTGCATTGCTCATGTTGAACCTCTCAAGAACCTTCTTAATATATTTTTCTTGAGATGACCATAACTTTTCATTCTACCTATTTCAAGAGATTTTCATCCCAAGAATCTGTCTAGACGGTCCCAAGTCCTTCATTGCAAAAGACTTGCTAAGCTCCCTTTTCAACCTGTCAATCTTGTTAGAATCATGCCCAACTATCAACATATCAGCAATATAAAGCAAGAGAATAATGAAATCACCATTAGGAAATTTTTTTACAAATATACAATGATCTGAAGTGGTCCTAGTGTATCCATGATCAACCATGAAGGAGTCAAATTTGTTATACCACTATCTTGGTGCTTGTTTCAACCCATACAAGCTTTTATTTAATCTGCACACAAAATGTTCTTTTCCTTTTTCTTTGAATCCCTCGGGTTGCTCCATATAGATTTCTTCTTCCAAATCATCATGAAGGAATGCGGGCTTCACATCAAGTTGTTCAATTTCCAAATTTAGACTTGCAGCTAGTCCAAGTACAACTCGAATAAAAGACATTTTCACCACAAAAGATAATATTTCTTCAAAGTTGATACCCTTTTTCTAACTGAAACCCTTCACAACTAGCCTTGCCTTGTATTTTAGTTGTGAGCCACTCTCATTAGATTTCAATTTGTAAACCCATTTGTTTTTGAGTGCCCTTTTGCCCTTTAGTAATTTCACCAAGTCATAGGTGTGATTCTCATGTAAGGATTTTAATTTCTCTTGCATTGCTTTTAGCCACTCATTTTTCTTGTCATGCGACATAGCCACTTGATAAGTCTCTGACTCACCCCCATCTATCAACATCACATACTTATGTGGAAGATACCTAGTGGAAGGTCTTCCTTTTCTAGTTGATATTTTAGGTTGAACTGGTGGTGAAGTTCATTATGTACTCCCTCTGTATTTTCATTTGCAGGAGTTTCATCTGACTGTATCATCCTATTCATTTGGTACAATTCCCCCGTGATCACCATCAACTGTAGGTGGGAAAACCAGATCCAAGTTAATTGAAACATCAACAGAGAATTTTGGTTTATCAATTTTCTCTATATCTTCAATTGTTTGATCTTCAAGAAATACAACATCTTTGCTTCTAATCACTTTCTTGTCTACTAGATCTCATAACCTGTACCCAAACTCTTCGTGCCCATAGCCTAAGAAAATGCATTGTTTAGTCTTGTCATCAAACTTGGATCTTTCATCTCTAGGAATATGAACAAGTGCCCTACAACCAAATACTTTCAAATGACTATATGATATGGCTTTCCCTGTCCAAACTCTCTCTGGAGTATCTCCCTTCAAAGGAATTGAAGGAGAAAGGTTAATGAGGTCAATTGCAGTTCTCATAGCCTCACCCCAAAATGATTTAGGTAACTTAGCATGAGAGAGCATGCATCTGATTTTGTCAATAATTGTTCTGTTCATTCTCTCTGCTACTCCATTGCGTTGAGGAGTCTTAGGAACACTTTTCTCAAGCCTGATACCATGAATCCTATAATATTCTTCAAAATGACCCCTATATTCACCACCATTATTAGCTCGGATGCAATTCAACTTTTTCCCTATTTCTCTTTCAACATTGGCATGAAAATACTTGAAAACATCCAACACTTGATCCTTAAATTTCAAGGAAAATGTCCACACTTTTCTAGAGTGGCATCAATAAATGTCACAAAATATAATGCACCACCAAGAGATCTATCTTTCATGTAACAAATATTAGTGTAAACTAAATCTAAAACATGAGCCTTTCGATGGAGAAAATTTATAAAATGCAACTCTATTCTGTTTGCTAACTAAGCAATGTACACATGTTTCAAGAGGCATACATTTCACATCAAGAAGAAGATTTTCTCTAGAAAGTATATGAAACCCTTTTCACTCAAATGTCCAAGCCTCTGATGCCAAAGCTCAATGGATGAATCATGAATTGCGTTCACCTCTCCTTTGCTCAACCTTACTTGCATCACATAAAGAGTATTGTGCTTCTTTCCCTTTTCCACAATGAGTGAACTCCGACTGAGCTTCCATTTTCCATCACTGAAGGTGTTTGCATAGCCTTCATCATCTAACCTGCCAGTGGAAATCAGGTTTAGGCGGATATCAGGAACATGTCTAACATTCTTCAAAATTAATTTGCAACTGGTATTGCTATCTAGACAAATGTATCTCATGCCAACAATCTTGGATACACCAATATTCCCCATACGAACATGTCCAAAATCACCTGTAGTGTAAGTGGTGAATTTATGAGAAGTAACATGAAAAGAAACACCTGAATCTATGACCCAATCACTGTCTGGGCATGCAAAGTTGACATAGTTATCATCACAAACAATAACAACATCACCATCGGCTGCAACGGCTGTAGTATCTTTTTCTTTTTTCTTGCCTCCACCTTTCCCTTTGACTTGTTTTCTTTTCCAGATCCTGCATTCATTCTTGTAATGTCCCGATTTATTACAGTGATGACAAATAATATTTTTCTTGACCTGGACCTTCCTCTACATTTATCATATTTGTTACGGGGACCTCTGTTCTTACTTCTTCTCTATCTTTCTTTCTTTTCTATCACAAGAGCTTGAGATTCTAAATAAGTCCCTTGTTTTTTCCTCCTGGACTCTTCATTCAACAAAGCATCTTTGACCGTGTCAATGGTTATTATACCATTAGGGGCTGAATTACTGACTGAAACCACCAAGGTTTTCCAATTGTCAAGGAAGGAACTAGGTAACAACAAGGCCTATACTTCATCATCCAGATTCATTTTCATAGTAGTCAATTGATTTATCAAAGCTTGAAAATAACTCAAATGTTCAGATGTATTAATCCCATCTTTATATCTCAAATGTGCAAGTTTTCTAATAAATGCAGCCTTGTTTAAACCCGTTTTCCTTTCATACATTGAATCTAATTTTTTCCACAAAACATCAACCCTAGTTTCTTGTGCAACATGGTGAAAAAGACTGTGGTCAATCCATTGTTGGATTTGGCCTACAGTTTTCCTATGCATGAATTATCCATTCATCACTTGATTTGTCACTTGGCTTTGCTTCATCACCTCTTATGGGTAAGTACAAATCTTTGCAATAAATAATGCCCTCCATTCTGAGTTTCCAAATGGCATAATTTAATGAAGTCAATTTTATCATAACACCCGAGAATTCTCCATTTATATCCACATAAACAATTAATTTCAGCCAACTTAACTCTGATACCACTGTTGGGAAAGATACACTATAATAGCAGAAATTAGTGTAAAACCAATCCAGGACATCAAGAACATTTCCCCTAAGTTTGTGTGTGAAAATAGGTATGCCAACAACAATGATAACAAGTAAACAATTCAGCCAAGTAACAGAAAAACAGATAACAATCATCACACAGTAGCACACCAGAATTTTTTACATGAAAAACCCCGAAATATGGGAAAAACCACGGAACCTAT